CTGTTTACCCCTTCCATTCTGCTCCTATCGTCCAGAATACACACCCACGGTGCATCAGAATGTCTCGTGTTGCCTATTGTGTTTTATTCCCCCCCCCCCCCGGTTGTGTTTTCCAAATGCGCTGTAGGCATCGGGCCACGAATCTCTCGCACACAGTGGTGCATCACGCCGTGTTAGAGAACCAACCCACGTGTTTGAGAACAGCCCGCAGAAAGGAGACTTCACAGAACTACTTCTGAGATCTCCTCGGGGGGGTTCTGCTCCTCCACCGCTTGCGGCCGTGCCGCAGATTTGTTCGCCGCACGGCAGCCATTGCACGCAAGCGGGATTCTCAACCGCTGGAACGTTGGCAAATTAATTGACGTACAGATTTACGTGTGGCGGGAGGGTTTTTTGTTGTTGTTGCAGTCATCGGTGACCGGGCTGAGGCCATCCACTCCGCTGCGCTTGAGAATGTCGTTTAATCGCGGGTGGCTGCCCAACGGAACGGCGATCGGATCGCGGCCGCTCTGATGCCGACCTCACACGAGCGTGCACCCATCCCATGGCGGTGACCCCCCTCCCGTCCCCCAGCCTTTGTCTGGCGCACAAAAGATCCTCGCTTGCTCGCCGCACAGTGCGGCTTTCATTGGCGCGCCTCTCTTTTGAGGCTCCGTGCCGCTCTGCCAAAGTTTCGGCTGCTAGGAGAGGGGCGGGGTGCGGCGGGGGAACGGACGGTTCGGATTCGCGGGCCGCGCGATGTTTGCGGCCAACTCGGCGGTAGGCGGCGAGCTCGTGAAAACGCTTCCACGTTGGGCGACGCGCTCGATTGTGCGCTCGCCTAATGAATGGCTTCGGGGTGCTCTCGAGAGAAAAAAACACTTTAGCTGTTAAATGCGAAGCTTCAAATTGTAATCGCCATCGTTTTGGAGAAGGGAAATAGCGAAATGGATAAGCGGATCGTACGCCCCCTTCGCATAACAAACAACAACAAACCAAAGTGTATCTTCACACGACCCGTCGGCCGCACAGCCTTCTGGGAGCGCATCATTTAGGCAGCTTTATTCCCGTAAAACATAACGTGAACCGGCATTTGTGGTCACCTGTTTACCCAGCGCAGACCGATTTATGAAGTCTCGCCACTGTCACAATCAATGTGTACATCTTTGCACATACAGTCCCGTTGTCAATCCACTGCTGGATGAGTGCCCTCCCCACAGCGTGTGAGAGTTGAAGGTGGGCAGCATGGACGTGAGCACAGTAGCCGCTGCTGCCCTGCAGTGCTCACCACATAGCTGCGCTTGGTATCTTACACAGTCACCCGTCCCAGCACGTGCTGTACTATCCAGACCCAACCCAGCTTGGCTTCCAACATCAGATGAGATCGGGCACAGATCTTGAGCACATTCCGGGTTATTTTGGTCATAAGTGTTCTCACGAGCCCTGAATTATAATAGCAGCATTCATTAGGCCAGAGTTGCTGCCCATGAGAGCAGGCGCTGGTGGTCGTCTATACTGCGACTGAATTCTTCAGTGAACACTCCCCATTCTTGCAGTTCTGTTATCCGCGACTCAAAAATCAAACCAATCCGTGGCTCTTCCCGTTTTGCAGTGGGGTATACGCAGCGCTGCCGATACCATCCGCCGCTCTGCGGATAAATGGGGAGGGGAGAAGCAAGCTTCAGGTGAATGTTAAAACCTGTCCTTAAACCTGCGGTGTCTGCAGTTTAAGAGGAAGGCCATGGGCAGTCCCCTCCTTCTTCTGTCGTATGCGGGGAGTTGACCGGCAGCGTTCATACGTTCGTATCGAGCTTTGTTGTGGACGGCTTAAGAAGTAGCCTGGTGAAAGTTTTCAATAGTTTAGTTATATATATCCATTCTCTTTGGTTAATTTATACTGTAGTAAACATTTCCTTGCTGTGGTGTTCACACCTGATGATGATTGCTTGTGTTGCAATCAAAACGTCGTGATTTAATTCTCATTTTTACTTTATTTTCTTTACCTACGTGACTTTACCGAAAGAACCAGAGAGTACCAAATGCAAGGCAGCAAAACGACGATGACGACGACAATCCAAGCCCACGGCAACAAATTGGCAACCGATCCCAGTGCGTTCGGTATCGACGCACCGTGCAGACACGGTCACCGTTGATGGTCTCGCGCAAAGCGAGCTCTGTATCTGATGGGCGGCCGGAAACCACTTGTGGAGGTTTCCACGTTTTAATTACGGACGGAACCAAGTTCGCCCTTGACGCGGCAAGCTTCGTTTTGCAATGATGTCTCCGTTCGTGGATTAAAATTGACTTTTGTGCAAACTGCGTGCGTGCGTGCGTTGCATTGTACGTCTCAAAATCGTTTTGAAGTACCATGCGTCTGGATCGTGTTTGTCATTCACGCTCCGCTATAACCGCACAAAAGACAATTTTCATCCTCGCAGAGGCTTGTGGCTGTCCATCGAACAAAGACGGTCATCTTCAATGCGTGGTGCTTTCACATGCGCTTCTGCGGCCGTCTGGAACTCTCTTCCTTCTGATATTAGGAAGCCATTGGGAGCTATGCACTTTTAAGTCATCATCTAGATTGAAAACTCATTTCTTTAGAACTGCTCTTTGTGTTTAGTTTGTTGTCCTTCCCCGGCACTTATAATTAACACGGTTGGCTACGTACGGTGCGAAAGAAGTTCAACACACATACAATTTGCTAATGCTCCGGGGCAGTGGCCCTTCTGTGAGCTCTTGATTATTCATAGGTAACAGTGGCCTACAGCCGCTGTAAGCTAATTTATCATTCACTTGAGAGAAAATATTTCTACCGACGTTAATGACCGCCACCCATTGCCCATTCGAGTAGCGAGATGCGTGAACTCTGGCACGTGCGTGCATGTGTATGGTCACGTGCGTGTGTGTGGTTTCGTGCGTGCAAGGCTCGTGAACTCTGACACGTGCGTGGAATCCCGTGTGCCAACAGAGGTCCCGCACACACTGGGCTCCTTATCCAAACGAGTCCCTTATCGCAAAGTGACTACCTACAGTCCATAAGCCACGCAGGGTTCATTGTGGTGCGCGTGTGTGTGTGTGTCTGTAGGTAGATGTGTGTGTGTCTATGCGAGCAGGTGTGTGTGTGTGTGCGGGGGCGCAGTGGTGAGCACGCTGCGTTATGAACCCGGAGACCCGAATGCGATTCCTGCTCACAGCCAATATCAGTGGCGAATATCTGTACCGGTCTCGAGCTTCCCCCCTAGGTCAACTCGGCCTTAAATGAGTTACCTGGTGCAGTGTGAAAACGTCAACAAAGAAAGCCAGGCGTGATGTTTTCTACTTTTACCCCTTGCGTGCCGTGCCGGCCTTCATAGGTGCCCATTGACAGCCCTTGCCCCAACAGTCTGCGTGTCTCTACGCGGTGGCTTTGCCTCCGCTCTCTATGAGCGTGAATATGTAGTGGGAAGGTGGTGACGCAATGGCTCGCGTTCAATTCCCGGCCACGGCTGGGGATGATGTCATCTCAACTGGTCGTGGGCCTCTCCGAGGTCGGCTCGGCCTTCAGTGAGCACCTGACGGGTGGTGTGTGAACAGCAGCACTGCGGAGACTAACAAAGGCCTCGGCAAGGTTATGGCCGCACCACCGTCAACTCGTGCGTTTGTGACCCTACATAGGCGCTCGCAAACAGCGCTTTGACCTAAGGGTCTCCGAGGCTGAACAGGGGAATCTTTCGATTTAAAGCTTTCGTGACTGCAGTGATTCATATTCTTGGTTCTTTCGGGCATAATATGACTTTGAAACCCCCCGCCCACCTCCTACACATTCCACAAGTAGTGACTAATCCCATATCTGCATTTCCCATAAATATGCTAAATTCCTCTTGATATGCAAATTCCTTTGTCAAGGCGCTCTTCCCCCTCCAACCCAGCTTAAATATACGCTTCCAAGCCTGGTGGTGTTCATTCAGACGCTGTCTTTCCGACAGACCTGTTCTTCACCTGAGGACGGCTGCTTGCGTTGTGGCCGAAACGTCGTGAGAATGATTTTATTATGTTTTATTTTATTTATTTTATTATTTCCCTTCTATGTGACTTTACCGGAAGAACCAAGAAGAGGGGAATCTTTCTTTTGTGTTCGAGGAGGTGGTGCGTGCAAGGCAGTGGCTATGGTCCGTGCCAAGCAGAGTTTGATCAAATGAACACTGAAAATGTTCTGGTGCCTGCGTTGGGGTTTCTTAATGCCTCACGCCAGGTGTGCACAAAGGATGCAATTACTCGCCGCTTGGGGTTTAGGGCGTTCACAATGCTCCCGAGTGGCCGCACCTGACCAATGGAATTCAAAGCAGGGAAAACAAACTACACCGAGCAGGAAACGACGACACAATCTGTACAGGATTAATTTGATTCATCTCGGACATTGTTGGCAATGCAGGTGTGTGTGTGTGTGTGACAGCTTCTCGCTTACAGCACTTGCCCCGAGCTGGCTCTTGAGGCTATCGCGGTGATCTTTGTCTCTGTGTACGTGTGCGCATATCCACGTCAGGTTTTTTCTTTTACGTGCACAACTTTGCGTCTGTGTGTGCCCCTGTGCTTGTGTGTGTGCGTGTGTTGATGTCTAAGTGTGGGGGGTGGTAGTGTAGCGGTTTCCGCGCCGTGCTACGACCCGGCGACCCAAGTTCGATTCCAGCTCGTGGCCAACACCATTGACGATTACGTAAACCGGTCCTGGGTCTGCTCTAGGTCGACTCGGCCTCAAATGAGTACCTGGTGCGGTGTGTAAGCATCGCCACTGGGGAGACAAAGGCGGCCGGGCGTGGTTCTGGCCACCCACCCCGTCGTGTACCGTGCCGGCCTCCATAGATGCTAACAGCAATTGGGAATCTGTTATCGTGAATGCCGAACTTCTTTCGCACCGTACGTAGCCAACCGGTGCTAATCGCGAGGTATGTGGGGGAAGGACAACAAAGGAAACAAGAAGCAGTTCTAAAGAAATGACGTCTAAGCGTGCGTGCGTGTGTCTGTGTGCGCGTTTTGTGAGTCAGATCGCCCAGAAGTACGACTTGCAGAAGGAGCAGGAGTTGCGTGCGTGGATGGAGGAGATCACCGGCCTCTCCATCGGCTCCAACTTCCAGCTGGGCCTCAAGGACGGCGTCATCCTGGGCGAGTGAGTGGCCCCGCACGGCACGGCCGCCCCCACCAATTCTGGTTCCGGTGGCCCTGGAGGTGGAGCTGATGATGGGCTGATGTTAGGGAGCTGCAGAGTAATGATGAAACAAAAACTAAACTTTTGTTTTTGACCAGGTAAGGCCCACCTAGTGTGTAGCTCTTTTTCAGGAGTGACTTCGCCGCAAATGATAGCCCGGCGAAGTGGCTCATCATCGCGTGGAAATTTAAAGCGGCAGTCAAATACTCCAAACGCGTGATGTTTATTCTAAATGAGGAGGGAAAAACTGCAGGTCCAGGAGGAAAAATCCACGGGGAGAGCTCGAGACACCGCAAACTCCAAATAGCTTCATTCTAGATTTGAAGTTTTCGTGACTCCAAATAGCTGTTTGGTTTCTATTACTCATCGACCTCAGATGTCCACTCATTCTGGCCGCACGTGAATTATTCTGGATCCGGTTTGATTCCTGGTCAAGGCTGCAAATAAAACGATAAAACTGCACGAGCGCTCTACACTCGGCTGAATGTTTCCAGGTCTCCTGGGGGATGCGGCGGCGGCGATGGCTGGCGGCGTGAGGATTTGTGTGCTCGGCTGACGTTTGCCGTGTCCGCGCGAGGCTTTAGCGCGCCCCGTGGCTTTGTTTAACTTTGGGGCTTATCGAGGTCTGACGGTCGTCGTCGTTGTCTGTCGCTGGGATTGTTTTCTGTGTTTGTAGGCTCATCAACAAACTGCGCCCGGGCTCCGTGAGGAAAATCAACCGGTCCAAGCTGAATTGGCACAAGGTAATGGCACATTTGTCCTTTTTCTGTTGCGCGTGTGTGTCTTGTGTGCACAGTATGGGAAGCGGTAGTGTAGTGGTTAGCACACTGCGCTACGAACATGGAAACCCCGAGTTTGATTCCCGCTCGAGCAATAGCAGTGGCGAATATTTGAACACGTCCTGGGCCTCCTCTAGGTCGACTCGAGTACCTGGTGCGGTGTGTAAACATCAGCACTGGGGAGACAAAGGCGGTCGGGCGCGGTGCTGGCCACCCACGCCCTCGTGTGCCATTGCGGCCTGAGTCGGTGCTACTTGCTAACAGCACTTGACCCAACAGTCAGTGCAGGCTATACGGGGGGGGGGATCTTTGTCTCCGTGTGCACTATGATCCCTGTCACCCGAGTTTGATTCCCACCCATGGATAGCACCAGTGGCAAGAGGCACGTGACCCTAACGTGGGTCTCCTGATAGGTCAGCTCAGCTTGAAAGGACGATAACTTTGTGTGGTGTGCAAACATCAACACAGGAGAGATAAAGGTGGCCGGGCATGGCGCTGGTGACACCCAACCCCTTCGTATGCTGTACCAGTCTCATACGGGGCAGCACTTGGTCAAGAGGACATGTTGATATGCGGTGCATTTGTGTCGATACCTCCTGGATTTTTGTTTGGCGTCTCCATGTTTGGTGATTGGTACCTGAGCCTATGCTGTACCAGACCTGGGGTCACTTGACAAATAGAATTGTGCAATTGACGTGGTTATCTGGCTTGGCCACTTGAATGTTGAATCTGCATCGGCGGCCGTACGGAAGAAGGCTGCAATTTGTCGTGAATTGTGGTCACGGTGTGTAAAGGTAAATGTGATTTCAGTTTGCATTGCTTTTGTAATCGATCCCATGACCGGTCTTTTAGAATCAACACGCGTTTAGAGTATTTGGCTGCGATAAAATGTCTGCGTGATAAGCCACTTCGTTGAGCTATCATTTGTGGCCAGGTCGCTACTTAAAAGGAGCTTCGTATAGCTCAGTGGGACTTATCTTCTTGGTTCTTTCGGTAAAGTCACGATGAAGGAAAAAAATAAAAATAAAACATAATAAAATACAATTCTCACGACGGTTCGTTTTATTATTTTATTATTTCCCTTCTACGTGACTTTACCGAAAGAACCAAGAAGATGAATCCCTGCAGTCACGAAAGCTTGAAATCAAGTGGGACTTACCTGGTAAAATAAAAACATCGTTTTAGTGTTGGTCTCGACGTATACGGAGTAGTCGGCTGGACGTGCTCAACATGGCAACTTGAGAGACGAGTTGGCACCTGGCCTCACCGTTGCCGGTCGCGCCATCGCCGTGCCGACCTTGACGGGCGCGCACACGAGCGACGCGTTTCGCCACGGTGACTCCGGGGCTAACCGATGATGGAATGGGGTCTCCCTCTCTCCTCCGTCCCCCCGTGCTTGCGACGCAGCTGGAGAACATCACCAACTTCATCAAGTCGATCCAGGAGTACGGACTCAAGGCCCACGACATCTTCGAAGCCAACGACCTCTTTGAGAACGGCAACATGACGCAGGTGCAGACGACCCTGCTCGCACTCGCCAGCATGGTAAGCTCACTGCCGCCCTTCGTCATAGCCCTTCGTCATAGCCCTTCGTCATAGCCCTTCGTCATAGAACATGATTTAATTGCTACGAAGAAAGGGGCCGTTGTCTGAAACCTTTCCGATTTCACACATCCTGTACAGTATATATATATATTTTTTATTTTAACGTCAGAGTTGTCGGATGAATCCAAAAGTTGCTCTCTTTATTTCTATGCCAAGTCGTGTGGCGCCACCTTGTGGGCAATGCGATGAAATGTCTTTGTTTGGGGGGTTTTAAACGAAATAGATATTTCGGCGTCGAGCAATGGCGGAGCCAGGATTTTCAGGTAGGGGGGGGCAACCCCTCCAGCAATGAAAAATGATAGAGGAGTTAGTAAGTAAGGACTTGTCCCTTGCTTGTTATTTGACGCGTGTGCGGCGATGGCGCCAGCCATCGATCGAGGGTCGAATTCGAACCGCGTCGTGTGATCGGCATCGCGCTCGCCGAAGCTGTTGATGCCTTCAGGGAAGTCGTGTCCTGTATACGCAACTGCGCACAATTATGTGAGTTACTTATAACTGCTTTGTCGTTACTTATTGCCAATTATCTCAGAGTCCCTGGCACGTAATAATATGCTACACAGTGGTTGTGGGGGTCGCAAAATGCCGATTTATTACTAATAAACCCCAATGATCCGATCGAAAAAGATAGTAGTACACTCAGTAAACCGTCTCGCTCTGCCTGCGGCTCCTAGTCACGTGCCACCGCCTCGTGGCCTACTCCAGTGTTTACCTGTGACCCAGAAAATATCGAGGGAGAGATGAGTCGCTACCGGTTCGTGTTTTAATGGCGGGGAGTTAATTTAATTTTAAGGAAACAGAAGAAATTATCCACAAATCTGGCTGTCGCCTGATGAAGCTGGTTGTAATTACTGGCGAAACGTCGTACTCAGATTATAAATTATGTGGCTTTGCTCTCCAACACACCGGCATGCTGTACTAGTGACGAATTGGCATGTTCTGTTTACGTGGCAACCCTTACTAATTGGCCGTGTCGGGTGGTGGCGGGTTTAACGACACATTTATATTTATACTCTCTGGTTCTTTCGGAAAAGTCACGTAGATAGAAAAAAATAATAAAATACTTTACCGAAAGAACCAGAGTGGATTCCTGGAGTCACGAAGGCTTCAAATCAAGACCTTTATATTTACGCGATCTAACCCAAAAACCACCTATGGATAATATTGGGTCGCGAAAGCCTGCTACGTGTTTGATGGCGGGGAGTGACTGCCCTCTGCTGGTAAACACCGTGACACTCGGCAAAGGGGGGCACCACTACATTAGCGCGGTTGGCTACGAACGGTGCGAAAGAAGTTCAACACACATACAATTTGCTCATGCTCCGGGGCAGTGGCCCTTCTGTAGCTCTTGATTGTTCATAGGTAACAGTGGCCTACAGCCGCTGTAAGCTCATTTATCGTTCACTTGAGAGAAAATATTTCTACCGACGTTAATGACCGCCACCCATTGCCCATTCGAGCAGCGAGACGCGTGAACTCTGACACGTGTGTGCATGTGTATGGTCACGTGCGTGCATGTGTATGGTCACGTGCGTGCATGTGTATGGTCACGTGCGTGTGTGTGGTTTCGTGCCTGCAAGGCTCGTGAACTCTGACACGTGCGTGGAATCCCGTGTGCCAACAGAGGTCCCGCACACACTGGGCTCCTTATCCAAACGAGAGTCCCTTATCGCAAAGTGGCTACCTACAGTCCATAAACCACAGGACTGAGCGTTTGGCTGTGACCCCAACGTTCCCACGACGGTTAGAGCAGAGGCACCGACGCCTGCGCCGGGGGCTGTGCGAGGGACCGGCTGGCTCGATCCACGAGTGGCTCGCCCCTGACGCTCGCGTGCGCGCACGCTCTCTCTGCCGTGGTCCCGTGTGTCAGGCGAAGACCAAGGGCGTGCAGACCAACGCGGACGTCGGCATCAAGTACGCCGACCAGCAGCAGCGCAACTTCGACACGGAGAAGATGAAGGCCGGCCAGTGCGTCATCGGCCTGCAGGTGGTTTGGGCTGCGCTGTCACGTGTGGGCCCCCCCCCCCCGTCTCTTCTCTCCCCACGTGTACCAGTGTCACCTCGGTGCAGCATTGACGTTTACGGAAGTGGCGACAAAATAATTAGTCGATGGAGTGTTGGGTTTTTTGTTTAGTCTTCGACGACGAGGACTGTGATTGGACAACATTTATTGCGCGTGGCGATGACTGCGACGACTTCCCGGCACAGAGCGAATCTCGTCTCGCGACTGTGACGAGACGCAGTGAACGAGTCAGAGTGCACACGCGAGCCCGTGTCGTTTAGTAACGCTATTAGAGACTGCAGTGCAGTGAGAAAATACCAAAAATGGTAATTGGCTATATTTACACGCACATAAAAAAAAGTTTTACCGAGTTCACTGATTGGCTGACCTTATAATACAGGGGTGGGGGAATTACGTGCCACTTACACAAGCGTGTAATAACCAAGAGCGGGGACCCTGCTTAGGTCAACCTAGGGCGCAAGAGAATGACGCGTGAACCTCACGAGCTCAGACTTGGGATAAGACTCCACGGGGCCTGGCTGCCGTGGCCAAGGGGCACGGCTGAAACAAACAAACAAAATGCTGACTGCGCTCTCACGCCCGCGTCAGTCCAACGCTGAAGCGTCCCTACCCACTCGAGGACTGGGACGAAGGTCGCCTGCTACGTACTGCCTGCTACGCACTGCCCACTACGTACTACCCACTACGTACTGCCTCCTACATACTGCCCGCTACGCACCCCACGTTTTCGTGGTAACGACGACTTTTAATTCTCCCAAATGTGTACTTGCGTTTCGTTGACTCCCCCCCCCCCCACCGGGAGAGGGTTGATGGGGTCAAGTGACCCCCTCGTCAGTATTTTCAACTCGTGCCCTTCGCTTGACTCGTCGAGCGCTCCGGCCGCATTGCCACCCAGCCAGATTTCTAATTATACCACCGGTTACATTTCCCAGGAGGACCCGGCAGTGATATCACCGGTTATATGGGGGCTTGACGGTGCCGAGATGTTAGCGACCTCTGCCGGTATCAAGGAGGTCGTAGGGTCGATCCACATCCTGTTGACACCTGTGTGTTTGGCGTTTGCATGTTCTCCCCGTTTAGAGTATTTGGCGTGCTATAAATTTCCACGCGATAAGCCACTTCGTTGAGCTATCATTTGTGAAAGCCAGGTCGCTTCTGAAAACGAGCCGCATAGCTCAGTGGGGCCTTACCTGGTGAAATAAAAATAGTCCAAAAATCCGATTTAGAGCCAGCGGATTGGCGTTGCGGTGACGGTGATGAACTCGCAGCAGCTGGAAGTCCGGCAGTCCGTCACCCCTTTTGGAGCCAACAGAATTATACTTTGTTGTGCTTTATGCAGTGTAGACAAAACGGTCCCCACTTGGTAGTGAAGGGAGGGGGGGGGGTTATGGTAGAATTTCCACAACTGCCTGGGGATCATCGACGGAGGTGAACTCCTGGCCACTTTGCTCGTTTGATCTAGGAGACTATTTGAGCGAAGAGAAACGTCCCCCCGGGCCCTGTGCCAGCTGCCTCTTCGTCTTCTGTTGTCGCGCGCAGATGGGCACCAACAAGTGTGCAAGCCAGGCGGGCATGACCGCCTACGGGACGCGTCGGCACCTGTACGACCCCAAGACGCTGACTGACAAGCCCATGGACCACTCCTCCATCAGCCTGCAGATGGGCACCAACAAGCACGCCAGCCAGGCACGTGCGGGGGCCCAGCCGGGCACGTCCAGACACCAAACGCAAACCGCCGCTCGTCGCACTTGGAAAATCGCTCACCCGGCCGATCACCATCCCCCTACTCCGCCAACCTTCCCACCCAGCCGCATTTAAACCGCCCGCCTCCTAAACGTTGCACTTCCGCTCCCCACACAACCGCAATAGACGCGCACGCACGCCCGCCGCTCGCCGTCTCAATTCCTCGGCCGCTTCTTATCCCCCTCCCCCCCTCTCAGGCGGGGATGACCGCCCCGGGCACGCGGCGCCACATCTACGACCACAAGCTGGGCATGGAGCACTGCGACGAGGGCTCCATCCCGCTGCAGATGGGCACCGCGCAGCCCGGAGCCAAGGGCATCGTGTACGGCCTGGGCCGCCAGGTCTACGACCCCAAGTACTGCCCCGGCGGCTCGGAGCCCGTGAACGCGCGGGGCTACGGCGAGGACGGCGGCGGCGGCGACGAGGACGACGACGAGGAGGAGGAGCTCGGCGGCGGGGTCAGGGGTCGCGGGGCGGAGCGCAGCAACGGGCGGGACGCGGCGAACGGCGCTGGCTACGCGGAGGAGCGCGGCTACGGGGGCGCGTACCGCGGCTACGAGCGCGGAGCGGAGGAGGACGAGGAGGACGAGGAGGAGGAGGAGGAGGCCGTGTACCGGCAGCGCGTGCAGTGACGCGGGGGCAAAGTCTCCCCGCGTCGTCTCCTAACGAATGTTTTGTTTTTCGTCTTCCTCGTCCTCCTCTTGTCACCCCTTACTCTGTCGTCGTTTTTTTGTTTAATTTTTAATGACGGGAAGATTTTTTAAATGCTGTACGAAGTGTAAACTGTTCGTTTTCTGCTCCCGCACGTTTGAATTTCCATTCGAAGTGCTCCGAGATTGTCAGTTTCCCCAATTTCTTGTTCTTCCTTTAACTCGCCCTGCCAAACCGGCACCCCGTATCTACGAGCAGCCCCTGCTGCTCACAAAGGGAATATTGTGTCGCTGTGGAGGGGGGGACGCGGCACACCACTGCTCAGTGCGTGCAGCGTCAAAGTTAAGGAATTTGAACTCGCACAAAAAAAACGTCTTTGAGCCCGGCCATCAAACCCCAGACTACCATCCATGCAACTAAAACATCTTAGATTTGTCCGGTTTTCAATCAAATTCGTTGATTTTCCAATTATCTTTTGCTCAACTTTTATTTGTACCTACTCACTCAACCTCTCTCTCTGTCTCAATAGCATTCCAGCTGAGCAGCTTCCTTCGTAATGATCTTTTGCACGTTACTTCTACCCAATGTGTTAACATCGATGTAGCGCTCTGCTTCAGTGAGCAGCATCGACAATTTATCGACAAACTTGTGCATTGTTTGAGTAACGCTTCATTTGTACGGGGGGGACCTTTTCGGTTCATCAGAAATGAAGTGTTTAAAATTGTGACTTGAGATGGTTGAAACGTATATGAAAAATAAGGAAAATCTCTCCGGAGACTCGGCTCTTTATTTGAAAGACGCTCTGCCTAGAATGATGGACCAATTTCTTATTTACAAACCAGAGTGCCCATAGAAAGCCCGCACACATAGATAGGAACACTCAAAACCCTCCTCTTGTCTGCAGGGAGTGCTGTGTGTGATTTCTAAAGGTTTTGATGGGTGATACAAGGGCTGGTAAAAGCCTTGTGCTGCAGATGCTCGTGTTTATCACTGCAAATCCATTTAAGGGTTAAATACGTTCCATTAAATTCTTTTACATTACAATACTTTCTCTACCTGTAGCACAAAGGACCAATGTCTTGAACTTTAGAGAAGTGCACAGCAACTTTTGACCAATTGTGCTCCGAGTTGTTGTTGGTCACGCGCGTGAGAGGTTCATCGCCTTAATCGAGAGAGCCGACACGCAAAGCATTGTGGGATTGGCACCCTTGGCCTGTGATTGGCCGCTTTCCCTCGCCGGGACAGCTCAGTGTTGTTAGGTTTGCGATCAGTCCGTAGACCACCCAGCGCGATGGGAACGTGTTTTTAAAACTATAAGGGAACAAAACGTACAATTGTAACGCGACTAATACTGTTCCGCATCGCGTTTATTAATTACTAGCTTGCATAATCATTCCCAGTGATGTTTTGTCTTTTTTTAAACTCCTTTATGTTGATGATCCTAACTATATTCCGCAAACAACATAGGGAGCACTTGTGTGTGTGTGTGTGTGCGTACATGCAATCAGACACTGTATATAATAACACACTGATAATGTTTTCCTTGCGTACCAAGCTGATTTAGTTTTCAGTCCATCATGTCATATTTTATATTCGGCAGTTTTTTTCCGTTTTCCCCGCCCCCAAGAAAATGTTACAAATTCGCCATTGCCACGTATGTACGTTGAACTTCTTTCGCGCCGTACGCAGCCGGCCGCGCTAATCGGAAGGTGCGGGGAAATCTAGAAGCCACAAACGCAGTTCCACGACTCACGACGTGACCACAGTGCGTGTGTGCGCGCGGGCGCCGATACGTTACAATGCCAGCCGTCTCGCGTGTGCCGCTCCTGGCCAGGTCTGTTTTTTTTTCCATCTGTGCCAATCGCTATCTTTAGCCGGAACCTCCCCTAGGTCAGTTTGGCCTAAATCGGTCGCCTGGTGCGGCGTGCGCTGTCAACACGCCGTTGCGTGGGACGGGGGGGGGGGCATGAGGGGGGGCAGCCATACACCGTGCTTCTTGGCCCCACCACCAGCTTGACCCCGTGCGGAAAATTATATAACTTTTATTTTTAAGTACAACACCATATATACGTATGTTTCTGATTGCATGCACACGTCCACACCGGCATATGACCTAAACGTGTTATTCTTTTTTTTATGTTTAACGTTGTCGTGTACATTTTTACGTAAAAGTGTGGGGGGGGGTGAGGGGGAGTGACCCACGATCGCCACCGTGTAACGCAGTCGGAACGGTCCTGGCGGTGAGAGGGGGGGGGGCCATGTGCGTTCACGACCTGCCCGCTGAGACGACTCTTTTGACCACCTCAAAGTTGGCCCTGTCATGAATGCACACCACGTGTGAACGGGCGTACGTCAACAAACTTAACAGGCAGAAAAACTGAGAATTAAAAAATGGTTAGCCTTCGACAAAGTGCCCGTCAAAACAATGGCGATCAAACTGAAATTGGGCATTTTTCCAAGTGTTCGGTCACTGAAACAACTTTGTACCTAGGTAAGACGTTTGCCTAGCAAGTTGAATTTTTTTTTGTTGACCAGATATGAAATGACTAATTGAATTGTATTTTTTTCTGTTTTAAATGAGATGTTAACCCCAGCCAGAGTTTAACATTTTAGGTCAATTTTTACAAAGTGTTCCTGTTGTATTACAATTAAGAAAAACCCTATTTTGTTTTGCGTTTAAATATATTTGAACTGTCGTCGTACGATCACGTTCCATTCTATTAGGCAGTTGTACTCTGCTCCTACTGTAGATTAGACCAGTCTTTTAACTTCAAAACTAGAGTAATGAATTGTAAACAAAAGTGTTCTTCAATACTTCCTTGTATCATTTAAAGAGAAATGTTTCCCCAAAACCACTAAATAAAGATTAGATACCAGTTTAATTACTCGTCCAGTTGATGCACACACCTTCAAAATAAAGTTTTCTATTGAATTCTTCCCCCCCCCCCCCCCACTTCATGTTGGTATTTTTGGGTCATTTCATCATTTGCTGCATAGAAACAAAGATCGCCCATTCTCTTCAGCGGGCGCCGAGCGGGGTTAGAGGCTGGATCTCAGTAATCGTGGAATGTTGGGACAACGTTGGTCCAACGATTCCAACCACGTGCCAATGTTCGCCCGACATTGGCGTGTTCACTGGGGGACAGTCTTTGGTTGGTTGGTCGACCACCGTACATGAAACGTGTCAGTTTAGGCCGTCACGGCTGAGGGCATTGCAGCAAAATCCACGGTTGTACCGTACTGCGCTCCGTCGTCTATACCCCCCCTCCGCCTTCGGCAACTCGCACTAACCAGCCCTGGTGAACTACGGTGTGGGGTGGGGAGGCCCTCATCCAGCAGTGGATTAGCAAAAAGATGTGTGCATTTAATTTGGCAGGGGGCAGAGGTAGAATGTGAAATCCATGTTTAAAGGAAACAAACCATTGTGAACACTTGGGGTGGTTTGGAGATGTTAACTACCTCGCCTGGTATACAGGAGGTTGTGGTTTCGATCCCGACTCTGACGCTTGCTGCTGTATATTTGGAGTTTGCGTGTCTCTCTCCCCGTGGTTGCGTTTGATTTTTCCCGGATCCTCCGGTTTTCCCCTCCACACTTAGAATCAACTTGACGCGTTTAGAGCATTTGGCAGATATAAATGTCCACGCGATAAGCCGCTTCGTTGAGCTATAATTTGTGATCGCCAGGTCGCTTAGGAAAACATAAGCTGAGTAAGCTCAGTGGGCCCTCACCTGGTAACATTTATGTTGTTATAGTTTTACGATGGAGAAACAAGCGAATGTTTTTTTTTTGGCAGTAGCCCTTCAAAAAAAGCATCAAGAGTATTTTCTTTCGTGGTACGCGAAGCAATTACGACCGTAGACTTGAGCTGAGGCTCGAGACCTGATTTTTTTCCCCCCCTCTCTTCCCGAAGAATTCCTGACAATTGCGGCAATTTTATTAACATGCACAGAGAGAAGCCTGTCCCTTCAAGCCCCACGGCCATACAGCATCTTGTGAAACGTCCACGGACGACCTTGGTCAGGGGCTGGGCTGGGTTGGAGCGCCTCGGCTGGTGTGCTGCGGACTTCCGCGCGCCCTCTCTCTCCTCTCCTCTCTCTTCTCCTGTTCTCTCTCTCTTCTCTCCTCTCTCTCGCTGCTCCACTCAGTGGCAGAGCCGCCGGGTTCCAAGCCTGCTCCGGGTGCTCGCACGCACCAGCACCGCTCGACGCGCAAGCGAAGTGCGCATCCTCGTCGGAACGCTGAAACCGCGACACCAAATCCTCCCCCTCCAGCCCCAGCTGGTTGCCTGTTCCGGGGGACATTCCACCAACAAATGTCTAACCGAGGCATCGCGCGAACTGCAAACGGGGGTTTCCACGATTCACTTGCCAGCGACAGCAACCACCCAGGCATCAACCGAGACCTCGGCAAATGTTCCTCGCCACCGACTCAAGTCCCCGATTTCCTCCCTCCCCACGCCGCTGCTGTCACCACCCTAGAACCTCGCGCGGATCCCGTAAGAGCGCCGGTGAACATAGTGGAACAATGGTCCGGAACGAACCTCCACCCGACCTCGTTGCGCCCCTGCCAGCCACCCCCCTGGGCTTCCTGTGAGGTACCAGTTGGTGGAAGCCCTCGACCGCATCGGAGCATCGACAAGGCCGATGGGCAAGGTCTCCGTTGTGAATGGGGAATTCTAGATTTGAAGCTTTCGTGACTGCAAGGATTCATATTCTTAGGTTTTTTTCGGTAAAGTCACGTAGGTAAAAAATGTAAAAAAATGTGTTTATTTTTTTATTTTACTTTTATTATTTTTATTTTTTTACCTACGTGACTTTACCGAAAAAACCTAAGAATGTGAATGGGGAAGTTAAAGGCACGGGGGGGGGGAGGTCACAGTGGTGCGGCTGTGGCCATGCGAACTTGGGCAACGGAGGATCGCGGTTGCAAATTAATAAAAACAAACCCACCGTGGTCTGCGCTCACCTCGACGGCGGAGGAAGCGCAGAGCGACACGAACTCTCTCCTGGAGCGCTGTCGTGGCGAGCGCGCCTCGGCGTTGGCACCCAGCTGCTGACAACAATCACCGGGCCGCAGGACGAGAATGTGCGTGTACAGCGGTTTTGTCGAGCAATTTTGCTCGACCATACTTCACCACGCTGGCCGGTTAGGGCGCGGAGCATAGACGTGTGAGAGTACGGTACAACAATGGCTTTGCTGCATTAACCCTAACCCTGTGCTGCCCGCGACGTGCCCCCCCCCCCCAGGAACCTGTAACACCTGTTATGCGTGGTGGTCGTTCACGCACTAACCAGGCTCAAAACTGCTTGGCTTCTGAGAATCTGAAAGAGATTCGACGCATTCTGGGGAGTTTGGTCGTCGTGAGTCAACGGCTGTCGGATCGCATTCACTCCCGGCATGCGCTCGGATGACCGAGCACCCAGTGACTCATGGCACCCCAGCGGAGTCTATAGTCTTGCGCGACTCGCCACCAAACCCTCCGTTAAGTGGCAGCTGGCTACACCATCTGAAACTACGTTGACGCAAAGCTGTCCGCCCCTTAGCAGTGCCTCGCTCATTACAGACCAATTCAGACTTTGTCGGTCACCCTGTGCCCTTATAAGTCACAACGTTCATCCTATACACTACACTATACACTAATATACACTATACACTACACAGCTACATAGCTGTGAACCCCTTCTCAGTACTTACATTTCGATTTAAAGCTTTCGTGACTGCAGGGATTCATCTTATTGGTTCTTTCGGTAAAGTCACGTAGAAGGGAAATAATAAAATAATAAAAAGAAAACATTCTATTATTTTATTATTGTATTATTGTATTTTATTATGTTGTATTTTATTTTATTATTTCCCTTCTACGTGACTTTAACGAAAGAACCAAGAAGAAGAGTACTTACATTATTAGACCAATTCAGACTTTGTCGGTCACCCCCGTGCCCTAATGAATCTCAACGTTCATCCTACAAAGTCCAATCACAGGGGAGAAACAGACTGATTTTCGTTGTTGCCCGGTATTGAAACGGCCGTACGCTGTATGGTCCTGAAAACTAAATTTGCCCGTACAAGAACATGGAGTAACCCGTGTGGGTTTACGGCTATGGTTTACGGGTTGCGGGCGGTTAATTGGTCGGTTCATTGGTCGGTTCAGTGGTCGTTTAATTGGTCAGTTAATTGGTCGGTTAATTGGTCGGTTAATTGGTCGGTTAATTGGTTGGTTCAGTGGTCGGTTCAGTGGTCGGTTCATTGGTCGGTTCATTGGTCGGTTCATAGGTCGGTTCATAGGTCGGTTCATTGGTCGGTTCAGTGGTCGGTTCAGTGGTCGGTTCATAGGTCGGTTCATAGGTCGGTTCAGTGGTCGGTTCAGTGGTCGGTTCAGTGGTCGGTTCATAGGTCGGTTCATTGGTCGGTTCATAGGTTGGTTCAGTGGTCGGTTCAGTGGTCGGTTCATAGGTCGGTTCATTGGTCGGTTCATAGGTCGGTTCATAGGTCGGTTCATTGGTCGGTTCAGTGGTCGGTTCAGTGGTCGGTTCATAGGTCGGTTCATTGGTCGGTTCATAGGTCGGTTCATTGGTCGGTTCAGTGGTCGGTTCAGTGGTCGGTTCATAGGTCGGTTCAGTGGTCGGGGCGGATGCGCGACGTTGCGCCGCGCGGCTCTCCAATTCCAGCGAAGGACCCCGCGGGCGCGCCGCAGACAACCCGGTCGGGGGGGGTGCGAATTGGCACCGGCGATGGCTCGGTGGGCGCGTGGCTGGGCTCGCGGTGCCAAGGGTGTGACGGGAGCCGTGTGAGTGGAGCAACGCAGCGTGGGGGGGGGGAGTTCAGAATCAGAATGTGTTCATTCTGGAGGAATCCGATGAGCTACAAAGCTCTCTTTATCACAGACCTCCAGTAGGTGCAGGTCAGAACGTTACAACGAACACGATAGGAGTGCAAAGTATAGGAAGGGTAAACAACTCACTTTAAAACATCCAAATAAAACTAAACTTTTTAATCTTACCAGGTAAAGCCCACTGAGTCATTAGCTTCGTTTTTTCGAAGCGACCTGGCCTCAAATGCGCACGGAGGCAAGGCAAGGGCACAAACACACCCAGCCAGCTGGCACGGTTCCACGCTTTGCCAACACCTGCCCAGAGTTCCACGCTTTGCCAACACCTGCCCAGAGTTCCACACAACTCCATAGACAACTCTGACTCAACGTGGCTCGCACCACGCCCGCTCTCTCATTGTCACGCTTCCCCGCCACCCACCCACCCCGCACCACCCAAGTTTCGCAATGCGAGTCCGCACGCGTTTATCTGCAGAGTTCTAGAATGTCCGAGACGTCGGGTGGGGATTGAGAATGCAGCTTGTTGACGACGGCGATTATGCGACACGGCCAAATGCAACACATCACGCCAGAACGCGCCAAATCTCCCGTGAGATTTCGGTAAATGAAGTGGGTTGAGCCCGGGTGGTGCTCTGTGGGGTGGCCACCAACAACGCGACAGGTTGGCACGGGCTGCTGCTGATCTACATTTAATCGGTCGTCCCAATGCGTGCTGACGACGCCTTGTTCGAGCTGGACGCACGTGCATACGAGACGTCCCGTTCTAGATTTGAAGCTTTCGTGACTGCAAGGATTCATATTCTTAGGTTTTTTCGGTAAAGTCACATAGGTAAAAAAAATTAAATTAATAAAAGTAAAATAAAAATAAAATAAAATAAAAATCACGACGTTTCGGAGGCGACACAAGCTTCCGTCTTCAGGTGGAACAATGCTGTGACGGTTCCACCTGAAGACGGAAGCTTGTGTTGTCTCTGAAACGTCGTGGTTTTTATTTTATTTTTATTTTACTTTTATTAATTTAATTTTTTACCTACGTGACTTTACCGAAAAAAAACTAAGAATATGAGACGTCCCATCTCAAAAACGGGGTTGTCCATGCGACATAAAAGGGGCCGCCGGCTACAAAGGTCCTCTCTGGAGGCACCCTTCCTCCCAGAGGGGTATTTGGCCTACTCTTCCCCGCTGGCCGCACAGGCGGCAGCCACACTTTACACACGGGGCACACAGCGCGACCCACGTGCCCATCGACGACCGCCGCGTCCGTGGGGACGCGGTTAGGATGGAGAGTCGGGGGGAGGAGGTCACGCAAAGGTCAAGGGTCTACGTCCAGCGTAATAATTAAAGAAGGGCGCTGGCAAGGAAGGCACGAGAAAGAGGATATGGTGTTGGGGAGAAAACTCAGAGACACGAAAAAATAAGAGGGAAAGAGGGGGTGGGGGGGGAGACAAAGGCGGGGGTGCCGTGGGAGTGTGTTGAAACAATCCTTACGTATATAAAGGAATTGAGAGGCTATGTGATAAAAGGGATGTGGCACCACAACGGGGAGCTGCAGGATGAGACTCCCGGCTCGTGGTTGCTGGATGTGAACGTTACCGGCACCACTCGGTGGACACAGCTCCACGGGCTCCTACAGCTCGTGGGTGTGACGTGGAGTGGGATCCGCGGGCAGCCACGAGGCCTTGACTTGGGGCAGCTGATGGAGTTGAAGGGCAGATCGCAAGGGGCGTGAAACTGCAGTTGGAGTGGAGTGACGCTTGTGGAGTGGCGGGGTTGTGAAGAGCTCGAGATGAAGTTGGAGAATACATCGGAAGTACAACATGAGAGTGAAAGTAAACACCTCACCGATTGTTCCAATTGTGGAGCAGTACATTTTTATTAAATTCTATTAAACCTTCTTGGTTATTTCGGTAAAGTCACGTAGAAGGGAAATAATAAAATATTAATTAAACATAATACAATACAATTCTCACGACGTTTCGGCCACAACGCAAGCAGCCGTCCTCAGGTGAAGAACAGATCTGTCGGAAAGACAGCGTCTGAATTCAGACGCTGTCTGGCATTCAGACGCTGTCTGAGGACGGCTGCTTGCGTTGTGGCCGAAACGTCGTGAGAATTGTATTTTATTATGTTTTATTTTTAATATTTCCCTTCTACGTGACTTTACCGAAAGAACCAAGAAGAAGAATCCCTGCAGTAACGAAAGCTTTACAGTAAATCTAAATTCTATTAAACCATTTGTGTTCCAGCATGCGCGATGGGCGGTGCCTTCCCGAACTGTTGATATCGTCACATTTAGGGCGTCGTTACGCAAGCTCGGGCTGACCTGCCAAAATCAGAGTTCGTGCCCTACAAAGTGTTGGTGTTGGTGCTGTTGGAACGACGACGTTTACTCACCGGGGCGACTCGTGTGGCCTTCCTTTCACATTTGTATTGCTCGGTGGACCGAGGCAGGAGGAGATTTACAATAAAACTGCCACGCCCGGAGATCGTGGAGGACATCACCTGGCCTCTGGGTTGTAACCTTTGCACCACGGCGACACAAGTATGGGAATGAGAGCAATGCTGTATTCCAAGTGGAATGTGTTAGCCAATTGTTTGCCAAAGTTTGATTTACGGCTACGGAAGTTATGATGTCAATGTATGTACTATGTTAACCTTCTTTAGCACCGTACGTAGCCAACCGTGGTAATCGGAGGTATTAATCAATGTCATAACAAGCTAATTCCACGTGCTATTAACAAGGGCCCTTGTCCGAAACATCGCATGTTTGTTCCCATGGGGCGGCATTGTTGCTACTATTCGGGTTCCAACCGTGTGTCTCAATAAATATTCTGATTCTGTATATCCAGGTGACACTTCGGGTGGCCTGGGTCACCAATACGACTAACGCAAAACAAAGCACAGCGATAAGGCAACTGGAAATCACAACAAAAGCAATTGAGGAATTTAATCCGTAAATGACCAGATAACTTCCCCATAATAAACGTGTCGATATAATGAGAGCACCCGTTTCTAAACTTGCAGCACCCCAGTCCAGACCAGTTCAACGTTTTGGTAGCTTTTCCACCGAGCGGAGGACCATTGCTTAACAATAAGAAGAAGTATTTCGCCACATGAACATGAAATACCCCATCAGCAAGTCCCATATTGCGCTACCAGTGCCAGGGACATTGCATTCTTACTCAGCCGAGAGTGACGGGCGGAGGGGGGCGTGTCTAGAGAGAAAAGAGGCGTGGCCACAGGCGGCGGGGGGCGGGGCCACGATTTGGGGGAGGGAGGCGTGGCTACGGGTAAGCTCCGGGCGTGGCTACATCGTCCAATGGGCGTGGCTACATCGGAAATGGGCGTGGCTACATCGGAAATAGGCGTGGTTAAAGCGACAAGTGGGCGTGGCTACATCGGAAATGGGCGTGGCTACATCGGAAATGGGCGTGGCTAAAGCGATAAATGGGCGTGGCTAAGGTGATAAGTGCGCGTGGTCTGACGCGAGTGGGCGGCGCTTCCCGTGCGATGGGCGTGTCCGATCAGCTGGTGGGGGGGGGTCGGCGGTGACGTCATGGCAGAACGTGCTGGCGGGGCGTAGAGGCTTCTAGAATTGACGTCATGGGGAGAGCCGGCGTGTCACACACACACACACGTGTGTATGTGTGTGTGTGTGACACGTGTGTGTGTGTGACGTGTGTGTGTGTGTGTGGGGGCTGTCTCACACACACGGGGGTCCTCTATATATACACCGACCGGCGTGGGGACGCGGGCCAGCGGGGCTTTGTGTGGCAGTGTCAAGTGTAACCTACCCCCCCCCCTTGTCTAACCACGAGCCTCATTGTCTGAGGGGTGGCCCGGTTACTGTGACGGCGCTGGGGGTCGTTGTCGACGGGACGAGGGGGGCACACGCGCTGCGTCAAAGAGTGGGGCGCTAATTTAACACGTTCGGTAAAAATTACGAGTGCGTTAATTGTTTTTTTTAATGTGTGTGTGTGGCGCGGGTACGATTTTGTGTCCGGGGCCTTGTATTGATTAAGTGGGATCGATCGGTTTTTATTAAGCCGTAGAACGACTGAGAAGATTCGTTAATCCGTTATCTAATAAGAGCTGTGAGCCGTCACAACGTGTCTCATCTCGCGGGGTACTTCGGTGTTCGTGTACCCACATCCATCTCGACAGCCTCCCAGCCTCGCTGCTGTCCACCTGTAACGACAACAACAACAACCACAACAACAACAACAAACAACCACAAGTCTAACAAGTGTACACAATTGCGTTGAGCTCCACGCACGGTCAGTAGGCTCTAAGCAAAGACTTGAACTTTAATCGGCGAATCATCATCATCACTATCACCATCAGTTGTTGGTGTTGGAGCAAGGCATCTGCTGTTGTTGTATAGCTAGCTAGCTAGCGAGCGCCTACCGAGACGATGGGCAAGGACTACTACAAGATCCTGGGCATCGTTCGCGACGCCAGCGACGACGACATCAAGAAGGCGTACAGGAAGATGGCTCTTAAGTGGCATCCCGACAAGAACAAGGCTCCCCACGCCGAGGAGAGGTTCAAGGAGGTGGCCGAGGCGTACGAGGTGCTCAGCGACCCCAACAAGAGGGAGGTCTTCGACAGATACGGCGAGGAAGGTGAGAGGGTGGCTGACGTACGGTGCGAAAGAAGTTCGATGTCCGGTGATGCTGAGATCACTGGTGGTCATCCAGCACCGGCGGTTTTGCACGGTTGGCTGATACGTAGGGTGCGAAAGAAGTTCGATGTACTGTGATGCTGAGATCAGGATTGGTGGTCATCCCACACCGGCGGTTTTGCACGGTTGGCTGATACGTAGGGTGCGAAAGAAGTTCGATGTACTGTGATGCTGAGATCACGATTGGTGGTCATCCCACCGGCGGTTTTGCACGGTTGGCTGATACGTACGGTGCGAAGGAAGTTCGATGTACTGTGATGCTGAGATCAGGATTGGTGGTCATCCCACACCCGGCCGTTTTGCACGGTTGGCTGCTAACGTACGGTGCGAAAGAAGTTCGGCATTGCAGTGTGGTCCACATGTTTGGTGACCCGCCTCTCCCATGTAATCGTTCTAAAACGTTATATTTTTTTAAAGTAAGGTTTTTATTTAAAACTGAAATTAACGTGCAAAGGGAACGCGGACGTGTTAGGATTAGTTGGGGATCACAAGACATCTGGACCAGCCTGTACAGTGTGTAACATCATTGGTGTAGCGTTGTGATCACCATCTGCATCAGTAGCGTAATCATCATTTTAAACTTCAATGTCGCTACAGCTTGATCAGTCGTAGAGGTATAATATTGGCATCATGGTCGGCACAGGCAGCAGCAGTGTCATGAGCAGTTATCAGGACAATCAACAGCAGCATAATCATGAATCCGTACCATATGTAGGCTTCATGGCCATTACACGAGTAGCAGCAGCTGATAGCAGCAGAATAATAATCGCCACAATCATTGCCATCGTCGTGATCAGTAGGAGCAGCATCACGAGAACCATCATGACCACCACCATCTCCATCATCAGCAGCATCATCATCAACATCGTGATCAGTAGGAGCAGCATCACGAGAACCATCATGACCACCACCATCTCCATCATCAGCAGCATCATCAACATCGTGATCAGCAGGAGCAGCATCATGGGAACCATCATGACCACCACCATCTCCATCATCGGCAGCATCATCATCAACATCGTGATCAGTAGGAGCAGCATCATGGGAACCATCATGACCAGCACCATCTCTACCATCATCAGCATCATCATCAACATCGTGATTAGTAGGAGCAGCATCATGGGAACCATCATGACCAGCACCATCTCTACCATCATCAGCATCATCATCAACATCGTGATCAGTAGGAGCAGCATCATGGGAACCATCATGACCACCACCATCTCTACCATCATCAGCATCATCATCAACATCGTGATTAGTAGGAGCAGCATCATGGGAACCATCATGACCAGCACCATCTCTGCCATCATCAACATCGTGATCAGTAGGAGCAGCATCATGGGAACCATCATGACCAGCACCATCTCTACCATCATCAGCATCATCATCAACATCGTGATCAGTAGGAGCAGCATCATGGGAACCATCATGACCACCACCATCTCTACCATCATCAGCATCATCATCAACATCGTGATTAGTAGGAGCAGCATCATGGGAACCATCATGCCCACCACCATCTCCATCATCAGCAGCATCATCATCAACATCGTAATCAGTAGGAGCAGCATCACGGGAACCATCATGACCACCACCATCATCTCTACCATCATCATCATCATGATCGACAGCAGCATCATGATAAGTATAATGATCAGTGGGGTTATTTATTACTCGTCATCAAAGCAAGCAGTGGCAGGATAAGTAGTAGGTGCGTCAGTCATATCACCAGCAGCGTTTTTCACATTGTACTTTATCACACTGAGTGACATCACACTCTTATCGAGACAATATCGAACATTTCCATGTTCTCGAGGACATCTTATTCACGATCAGCATCACCACACATGATACAACTACAACATAAAACCTCCCACTGCAGGTAAATAGAGTATTGATGTAATTAGAACCGTCCGTAATCGGCAAACACAAAGCCATGTACAGTGTAGCAGCAGTTGTAAGCTCAGCTGACACTATAACACATTCCTGCACGTGTTGCCAAACGAACTAGTCCTCCTCACGCAGCTTCTGTGTGTCAGCAGATAAAGGTGCAGCACATCAATTCCTTGCTCAAGCCACTGCTGGCTGAAGGGATCCTCAATGTCTATGAATAAATAAAACGTACTCGATGTACGGCCCATTTGGAACCTACTGCTGGATGAAGGCATCGCCACTAAATGCCGGTCATTGGCGGTTGTTGTTGTTTGGCCATACTTGACCCCAACTGGTCAGTGATACGTATTCGCTCGAGTAAGTGCATAACAGTTAATTGCTAATTCGGATGCGTGCACAGGAGAAGAGACGTGGTGTCTGTACGAGGTTAACACTGCCATTTGCAAACCCGCTCACAGCATTTTAAAAACTGTCCAGTCATGGCATCGTCCTTTAAGCATCTACGGACAAAAATACAATTGCGTTTTTGTCCACGTAAATGGTTTCAATTATAATCGCTGTGGGTTCATGCCAACGCATGTTTGCTTACAGGAAGGTTTTTTTTTATCTTAATAAGTCTTCAAATAGACGTTGACGACATGGCCAGAGGTGGCCACTGCACCCACAGACATCATCTCCACGCGCCAGCTCCAGGTGAAGTCGTGGCTGCCATCAGGAGGTTGTGACAACCTTCTGGATGTCATCTCCCGGTAGAGTGACAACTCGCTGCCATGACGGTGATTAACTTTAGTTTCCAACAAGCGATATAAACCAGTGCTGTCCGACTAAATATTGAGCTGCCATGGACTGGTGTTGTCGTGAACTATCAAACATCAACTCGAGATGGCAATAACTCGAGCGATAATCATCTAGAGTTACCGCTACCTAGAGATCATGCATTAGAGATGACGCGGAAGTTATGAACTAAGTTTGTTACTATCTGGAGATCCATGGCACGAGCTTTCCCGGATGAGTTAAAATATCTCGCTTGAGGTAATAAACTAGGGAAGTCACTCGCTATCTTTTAACGAACAAACATGATCGTAGAGTTATTACTAACTATAGAGCACGAACCACAGATGTCTCCAGCTTACAATCAACAGAAGTTAACTCGAGATGGCAATAACTGTCATTAAATAGTTAACAACTAAGAAGGAATCCTGAACTAGTTCTCAGTGGAGGTATTGCTAGAGGTCACTATCCATCACCAACTAGGAATCAGCTCTACATCACGCAGGAGAGATATCACGAGCTGTGGACTATACTTCATCTTTAACTGTTAGCTAGTGAACGAGACGACGTGTCACTAACTCGAGCTATCGACTACAGCTACCAGCGAGTGTACAAGAGGTGTGTTGTTGAAGAGAAGATGGTGTGTTGTAGAAGAGCATCTAAGGCTCGCTGGCAGGAAGTTTCGGGACAGACCCAGGTGCCATGGGTTGGCTGACAGATGACCAGCAGATGCACCATCTGTACCCCCCACTGTGCCAACTTTCTGCGTTTTATCCGCCCGGCGCTCCGCTCGTTGTTGTGAGCATCGCTCCTCTGCCCTCCGTTGTTGTTGGAGGGCGACTGCCTCCGACTGCCCAGTAGCAGCAGCCTCTTCCACAGAGGCCGATCTTGACACTGCCAGTACCGGTCTTGGGCAAATCCACTCTGAGCTCCACATCCTCCCACGTCGCATCAGCTCCATCTCTTCTCCAGCCCGTGTCGTGCCTCTACGCGGCCGAACAGAAGCTGCTTGGGCATGTGGCAGAACCGTCTAGAAACCCACGCGCACATAGCCGATGCGGTCTATCGTTTTAAACGCACGCGCCTGCCACACGTACAGGAATCCCAGGGCTGTTCTGGCAAGGGGATATTTGAATGCGTAGCACTGACACGCATCCTAAACACGCGTGCCCACAAACGTGGTCGCGTTCGCTGTGGGACGTTGTTGTTGCAAGCCAACTCGCGCGTACATCTTAGCCGCTCTATCTATGGTCTACGAGCCACTACAAAGCTTGTGAGTGATTCAAATAAGCGTGACATAATTGTGCTGCCCTTTTTTTAAGAAGAGTTAACAATCTGTGTGTTACAATACGTGCGTGGCTTTGACGCATGAAACATGACATGTGTGGAGTGGTGGCACAGTGGTTAGCGCACTTCGCCATATAGCGACCGCAGCTGTTATCGGTGGTGAGTGATATCTGAACTGGTCGAGGGCCCCCACACCCCTTCACCAACATGTGCTGACCAGCGTGGTGAAGTATGGTCAAACAGCCCCCTTGGATAAGGACCCCAGCCCTTATCCATGAGCACATTGTCAAAGGCGTGTAACTTACTTGTTTTCATTGTTTATTATTATTAACGTATTGGCCAAACATTCCAAGTAAGACCCTCTTACAAAAAAGCTTTGCGACACATTGATTGGGGCATGCCTGGCTAAGTCGTCAGCATCATCGGCCATAATCAATCAAAGTTCAAAGTTCATTTATTAGGTATAGCCCTGTGAGCCATTCGGCTCTTGAATCGGGTGCAACCGCAACAAACAAAAAATATGAACAAGAAAACATCTTAAAGTGACTATGTGCAAACAGAAAATCCAAGAAAATACAGCTAAATATTGCAAATCCACTGCTGGATGAAGGCATTTTCAGGCCCCCTGCCAGCCTGGCTAAATGTCATAAAGCACGTTAATAATTATAACATTTCTAATGCTTATTTGTACAGATGTCACTGAAACCTTCACACAAATCCCAGACATCACTTGGAGGCAGCTGAATTATTATTCACCATTCACGTGGCACATTTGCCCACATTTACATCGGGGACAGACCGAAGGTTTTAACAAAACCGAGCCTTATTATATGACACACGAGTGAGAAAGTGCGCGTTCGTATCGCCGCACCTTCGACAAGAGCAGAACCTAAAATGCATATGTGGCCCCGTGGCATTTGGTTCGGGCTAAAAATACAAACCACCAAGAGGGTCACTTGTTCAGGGTTAAACTTAGCTCTCCCAGAA